CACGGAGAACTTCCGTTTCGGGTAGAAAGGCATACTTTACGTCACGGCCGCGTGATCTTAAATGTTGGTGGCCGAGTCCGGTCGGGTTGAGGACGAAAGCAGACGTCAGTTTCTGTCTTCTTTCGTGAAAAACTGGAGTCAATAAAACGATAGCGGATACCTTCTCCTGGTTATCAGGACATCAAAAACTAATTAGGGTCTTCATTTGAAAAACAGCTGTAAAATCATTTAATGGTCCCTTTAAAGGGGCCCTGCAAGGACTTTATTACTGGCTTTTAATTTGCGCCGAACCTGAGTGCACTGAACGTAAAAGTTATACGCAAATTAAAAGTACAAAAACAAGCAAAAAGTAACCTCCCTCATGACGTCCTTGGTTGCTTGAGTGGCCGTGAACTAGAGGAGGGGTAGTGAGCTCAGCGAGCGCTCACGGCTGCCGCACTCCGTGTCGACGGCTCGAGAGGGCGCCACTAAAGCATGCTCTGGATAGGCTGTATGCAGCGGGCAGCCAGCTAGAGCGGCTCTCGTTTCATTGGCTGCGCGATTAAACACTAATTCGGCATGACACTTAACTGGCCACAAATTACAGCAAACACGGGGTACAAATCAGTTCAGAATGGGAGCCACTTCGCGCTGCCATACCGCGAAACGGCCAAACCGCAAGACAAAGCTGCTCGCCGAAGGCCTTCAAAACGCCCGGAGTCGGTCGGATCCTCCAGTCGATACGACCGCAGCGCCGCCGCGTACGTCCGGGACCTTTCTGCGTCGGCGCCTGATCAGTATGCGCCGCCTTTTCCACCGCTTGGTGGGGTGTATGTCGACGGGTCATTTCTTGTTTTCGTACTTTATAGACTGCATTTGTTTCTTTTCTGAACTAAGATACTGAACGAAAACTACTTTTATAAATAATTGAAACGGGTCGCGCCAATTATATTAGAGCGCAGCTCTTAGGGGCCCGTTTCCAGCCTGAGCGGCGTCGCCGTCGGCGTCGGCGTAACCGCGCCCCTCCCTCTCCTCCTCCTCCCCCTCCTTCTCCTCCTCCTCCCCTCATTGTGTAGTATGGTCCGGGCGGGTCACGTGACCTCGGGGGGAGGGGGTCACTTGACCCGTTTCCAGCCTGTGCGGCGTCGGCGTTGGCGTCGGCGTCGCCCCTCCCCCTCTCCTCCTCCCCCTCCGCTCCTCCTCCTCCCCCGCCAAGGTCACGTGACCCCGGGGGGTGACTACCCTCCCCCCGCCGGTCACGTGACGGCCCGCCCAAGGTCATGTGATCCCGTCCCCTCGAGGTCACGTGAACCCCCGGACCTCTGCCCTCCTCCTCCTCCCCTCATTGTCTAGTATGGTCCGGGGGGGTCACGTGACCTCGGGGGGAGGGGTCACATGACTTCAGTGGGGCGAGGGGGGGAGGAGAGACGAGGAGGCGGAGGCGAGGGGAGGGGAGGAGCTTGAAGGACGAGGAGGTGGTAAAGGAGAGGGAGGGGGAGCAGGAGGGGAGGACTAGCAGGCATGATCACGAGGGAGGAGGAGGAATATACCCTCCACTCCTCCTCCTCAAGAGCTGCGTTCCAATTCGGCGTTACAGGAAGTTGTAAACGGCTTTCACTTTTTTTTGTATTTCGACTAAAAAGAAGCTTTTAGCGGCTCTGACCAGTAGTACGCTCAGGGCCAAAGACGTCACATATCGCGCGTTTTCGGTACCGCGGGTCGCCCCCGTCGGTGAAGGAGGTTTCCGCGTCGTCCGGTTAAAATATGACGCACTGATATTTAGTTGCTCGTTCCGTGCGCGCCGGGTTGCCCGAACCCCAAGAGACGTGGAAAGCGTAAAAAATGTAGACGTTTATATATGATTGCAGGGCCCCTAAAGGTGCCCTTATAGGTTTCTGAGATCGCCTCCATCCGGCGATAAAGTATTCTGCGGGTTCTAAGCATTCTAGAAATCCATAGACCATAAAAATGCGCGGCAAATTTTCCTACTTCAAGAAAAAGATAGTTCAAAAATCGCAACACACCGAGGTTATTTCTGGCCGATGGGAGGAGCAACGTTCCTAAACCAGGACCACTGACAGCCAATAGCAAGCGAAGGAACCTCGCGCCTCCCACCGGTGGCTGCTCCAGCACGATCGGCCGGACGCAGCAGGTCGCGGCTGATCTAACTAGCGTGCACATAAAGGCACCTTAGCTTTAAGAACTTAGACCGCTTGTGGATACATCTGTTCATCTGTATCCCATTATTTCTTTTTCTCTCGGTCCGCGAGCAAGCAACAAATACAGTCACGCTGCGCCGGTACTGACCGCGTCATATTTATAGCAGTCGGATTCGCTTTTGGGCCCGGCAAATTTATAAATACACACGAAACCTTCCTACATTTGGTGCATATTAACAAAGTGAAGCGGTAAAGAAGAAAATGTGCAACTTACCTTCTGTTTTGAAGCTCCACGTGCGACTGAGCAACATTTTCGGTGTGTCGGCTTGGGAGCGCGGGACGCGGCGGGACGGGAACTAGGTCATGACGACGACGCGCCACTATGTATCAGTGTTGCCGGTCTGCTTCAGCCGGTAGTTTCGGTTTCGCCGTGCAGCCGGATCGAAACTTGGATTAGCGAATATCTACAAAACTAGACACACTACCGAAAAACAAATTATATCTCGTGATTCAGGGTCGCCGACTTTGACTAAACAGATAATATCCCAAAAATTGTAAAAGCTATTCGCTAAGCGATTAAAAAATATTTGGCCAAACGCACTACACACTTTCGATTCGCTTCGCACTCAAATTCTACTATTCTCACTTGCCTAAAAATAACAATAGAAAAAAAAGGGCAATAACTAATTCGCGCTAACTGCGCCACGCACTGTGCTCCACTGCAATCAAGATTTGAGCCTTAAACATTATCTAACTCCTTGCACTCATGTGATGACCTACACTTCGTTTCAGCTTCCGTCCGTGCGCAGCCAAAGCTACGTGTGGCCGGAGCCAACTACACGCCGGCAATTGGTCACGCGATCTCACCAGCACTTTTGTATCAGTCCGCTGCGCCGCTGGTCGTCCGCGCCGCCCGCGCTCGCCGAGTATTTCGTGGATCAACGGTATTGTCTGCTGGAGGTCTAAAAAGCGCCCTTTCACATTCTGAAATTTAGTCGCAGGGGACGTCAGTACGTAGGCTGGCCGCTGGCGTCTGTGTTCGAGCTTTCCACCGGTTCGGCATTTCGGCGTAGTTTCGAGATGTAAGTAAACGTTGCAAGGTGCCCGATGACCCGGCCGTTGATGTTTCCTTGTACTGTCTGGATATACCAGGGCTCGAGGCGCAGTCCTTTCCACCAGCTTCTCGGCGTTCAATGTGATCGGCAGGTAAAGGGGTGCCCTGATTTCGCCGCGTATCAGTGAATTGTTGTGGGCCGGACGCTTTTCTTGTTTACAACGTATTCGCGGTACGACGCGGCCGGTGTCTCCCGCCGAATTTGAAAGTAGACATTCATCACGACCTCTTACGCCTGACGCCCAAACGTGCCTTTGCGAAAGGACGTTCGGAAGCGACTCGGTGAGGAAAGCAGCGAAGCACGTGATTCGGCAATTACCGGAACGCAATCCTCAGAAAAACCGAGCGCTGCAGCCGTGTTGCCAGCGGATGTACGTGTTTTCACCAAACCACATGAATTTACATATATTAATAAAAATATAACTTCAGATATTTAATTCCTTTAGTTGCAAATTATTCTCAGCAGTACAATTCTGGAATGTTATGCAATGTTTACGCACAAAACAGCTATTTTAATATAATTACTTTTGCGGACTACTTTGGGGTGCGTAAGAACTCTATTCCCGAAGTCGCAAACCGCCCCTCAGCCTTCGGCTGCGCTCGGACGGAAGCTGAAACGAAGTATAATTCGTGTTGAAAGCTTTTGAAAACTTCGAGAGGCACCGACTAAAAATGACTTTTCCACTCAAAAATGTACCATAGCTGTCTCTGTCAAGTGTGGTAATGGGGGGCACTGTGGCAAGCTCCGGAACCTTTAACCGTTTAAGTTCCCCCGTCACCTCAAGAGAGTTCAGCTTAGCAGCGCTTTTACTTGAGGAACTGAAAAAAATACGATATATCATAAAGAGAAACGGGCAGGTTCTCAGCACGGAAGGCAGCCAGGCACCCGGCAGCAAAACCTGCCTGTCTTGGACGTAGTTTCTGCGATTCTCATGACGTCGAAAACGTCGACACAGTTCCGCGTGGCTCCTCGTAAGTCCCGCAACCCGGAGACGGCCATCTTACCCAGTGTATGTAGCGCTGCTGATACTGCTCCGGAACTTCGCTATTTCTAGCGGCTGCGTTTGCCCTTTTGATGAAATTAGTGGTAAAAACCTCAATGCAACCGAAATGTTCTCCACGTTTGGACTGTGAGACGGAATTACTGGCGGCCTTCGCGGCCGCTGAACCGCAATCAACTCAAAAACATTTATTAAACAACGTGCGCGACGTGCTCGAAAAACGAAACCAAAGAAGATGAGTCGGGAGGGCGAAAGCTTTCTGCCGTCTGCCTGGAGATGGAGAAGGAGAAAAACGTCTCGTTCCTCCCTTCTTCTCGTGTCCGCTTGGGGGCGCGTCAGTAGAAGGGAAGAAAATGCGCCGTTGCTACCTTTTTCCTCCAATTTTTCTTAGGGCGCAACACCTCCTAGATTGAACACCCTAGTGCTGGACACTCAACGCTACCCACCGCGGAGGATCGTGCTAGACACAGATTGGGCACAAGTTCACCAGGGACATGTCCAATTTCTGCTTTACATTGGCCTCCAGCAAATAGCGTAAAAAAATCAAGCCCTATAGCCCACTCACTTTTACTGACTTTGGTCGTCTGCTAGAGCCGGTTCTATACAGTCGGTTCCTGCCAATCCTTGAGGCGGAGAAGATGTGGGGCCTCGTCCAGATTGCAAAAAGTTAATCTGTATGTGGTGAAGATATCAATTTAGTGGAAGGTGAACAGCGAAGCGTGTTGCTACAGCATTGCGGTTTGACAGGCCTGCCCATTGTGGAGCAGCGAAGGGCCAGTCCGAGACGTTGAAGATCCTGGCACAGCACGGAGCAAACCTGTACATGAGGAACCTGCGGGGCGACCTTCCGCTCCACGAGGCCGTTCAGTCTGGACGAAAAGGTGAGGGTTGTCGAGAAGACACTCGCATTTATGTCTTCCGAAGGTTCTGAAATGAAATAACTGATAAGGCAAAAATCAGACCGGATATGGGAGAGTTCCAGCACCCGTTCGTAGATCAGACAGTCGCAAACATGTAGAGAAGATCGTCGAACGTACAAAGAGAGCTAGCCAATCATAAAAACAAACTCCAACGAACGTTTCTTTTTACCAAGTATTTGTACACGGGTGTCATAATCATTTTTCGCCGTAGTCACTGACACTTTGAGGGCTTAGTAACTCTCAATGACCGTTATCATTGCCCCGCGATTACAAACTCTGAAGAACTCAGAATAACGAGTCACAATGCAAGGAGAGTGAACATCAGCCCTTTGTTGCGTACTTAAGATGTCAGAGGCCATGACTATGGCCATGGACAGCTAAAGAAGTGGAGGGTATGGCGAATTCCGAGTATCTCACTGTTGCTTTATAGCCAAAACAATGCCGCGTTATCCAATAAGGAAGTAGAAGAACAAATCTCAAAGCAAAACGCGGAAACATATTCGGCCACGCCCCAAGTTTCTTAAGCTTTCAGCCACTTCAGTTTTATCTGCATCGCGAAGTAGATTGCATCGCGAAGAAGATACGCATCGCGAAGTATATTGCAATATGTGTCTATCCAAGGAATAAGATATTCTTTTGGCATTTGAAACGTGTACGTCTTGATAAGATAGCATTGATCTAATATAATAGCGCACCCCGATACATCTTATTATCTACATAAAGGAAGAATGGCTGATGCTGAGCGAGGAGCCGGGCTTTATTTTTTCTAATAGTTTTTGAGGGGAAAATTAGTATAAGTAACGTGGCATTCTAATTCTGGAGCGTGGCATGCTTAGCACTTTCTCTACTCGCCTGACGACACTCTCTAAAAAATCTGGAGAGTCCTTTTCCCGGCAAATCACATATGGGAGCCGATCAGTGCAATCTATGAAGGGGGCTCGGCGAATGGCGAGATTGCAAACGCGTTTAAACGTCATATTCGTTTCACAGCGCACAGAGAGAGAGAGAGAGAGAATGTGTGTGTGTGTGTGTGTGTGCGCGTGTGTGTGTGTGTGTGTGCGCGTGTGTGTGTGTGCGTGTGTGTGTGTGCGTGTGTGTGTGTGTGTGTGTGTGTGTGTGTGTGTGTGTGTGTGTGTGTGTGTGTGTGTGTGTGTGTGTGTGTGTCACTCGTTACAAGTGACACATTGTTTCTTTTATGTAGCTCTTTTAGCACACAAGCTTTTGCCAGTGGTTTGGCAACTCGCTCAAAGCTCTCCTGAATGTACACAAAGAGCAACCAACTCGTATTGAATGCGCACAACTGACACTCAAAATCATTCTAGACGATTTACTGGGGCTAATTGCTACGTCGCTGGTCCGTGGTTGAAAGGGCATAATTTAAGAAAACTTCCGAAGTTTTCATTTAATTACATTTTGGTTGCCGAAGTTCATTATCTTCAGTTTTATATTTGATAGAGTTTGCCCTCACGCAGCAGACCGTCATCCCTTTCCTGACAGACTTGGTGCAGTGGCTGCTGGAGCTGCAGCCATCGGCCGTCAACTCGCCGAACAACAATGGCCGCTCGGCCCTGCACGTTGCCGCCATCGCCAACAGCGTGGAGATGTGCAAGGTGCTCATGGACAAAGGGGCCGAGGTCAACCCCGTCATGCGCAACAACAAGGTAGGCGGGCTGGATGTCGGCACACCGCCCTCAACAGCTGCAACACCACACAGAAGACAACGCAGGCAGCGGACCAGTGTTGGCCCAATGCTGGCACAATATTAGAATGATTGGATTCCTACATTGGGGCGCAACCCACTCCAACGTTGGACTAACCAAATTTCCGATATTGGGCCACTGACGATCCCGGGTTACACCATTATTATTACAATATTGGCATTCCAATTAATCCAATTAAATACCAATATTTCTAATAAATATTAGGCCATAATTTCCAATATTAGATTCCAATAATGATCCAGGATTTTCAATATCGGTGTCCAATGATAGGCCGCGATTTCCGATATTGGTATTAAATATTATGCAGCAATTTTCAATATTGTTTTCCAATTTTACGCCAGAATTTCCGATATATTTATCCAGTGATACACAATTTTAGTGCCATATACTGTTAACGAATTATATTCCTGCTTTTCCAATAATGTAATCCATTCACAAACCAATTTCTCCAATGCACTAGACCAGTTAATACAAGTTTTTCACAATATTGGCAAATAAGGATGGATGATTTTTCTAATCTTGTTGTTCATTATTAGCCCAGATTTTCTAAACTCGTAATTTAATGTTAGACCAGCTTTTATATGTATATTGAGCAGGATAAACTCGAACTGCGCCAATAATGGCCACCTTTTCAAGCAGGGTTTTGATAATTGCTTGGCAAAACCATTCTTTATAATAGCTAATATGGATACTGACGAACGAACATTTATCGTATCATATATATGCTCTTTGTACAGTTGATGTCAGATAATATAAATGTAAAGTCATCTTTGTTTGCCTTACCCTAGGATACCACACACACGTCAAAGTTCTTTAGTGCTCCTCGTTTATTTCTTTAGGGGCATCCCCTCGTTGTCATTTTTGTCAATTACAAATCAGCCAAGGTAATAGAGACGACAAATTAATGACCCTTTGAAGAATCAACATTAAACTTAGCTACAAATGAACACTTCCTCCCCAAAATGTAAGGTGTTTCAGCAGGATTCCCGCTCGGTGATGACTCCCAAGTCGCAAAATGAGGAGTTACAAAACACAATTAAAAATCTTAACTTGCGTAATAATTCATCAAAATGTGTTATATGTTCCGGAAAAAAGATCAACAACATAAGAGAAGGTGATCATCTGCTAAAACCTCAAAGGCGTTTTTCCTTTCTAACAATTCAGATGGGGCAGGTGGCTGACGCTGAGCGAACGTAATGTCCTGTGAACAAAGAAAACAACAGACATTGAAAATACAGAGTCACGGCCTTGAATTGGACGAAAAAACATCTCCTACTTCGCAGAGATCAAATGCTTAGGCATGCTAACTGTTTTCGTTTATTAAACTTCTTTAAAAAACCAAATAAGAAAAATGAATAAGACAAAATCCTTTCCAGGGGAAGAAATAGGACAATCCGTATGAATTCAATAGCGAGATAAAGGTATATATATCTCCTCAATCGTACGCATTGGTTTGTACGTTAAACCATTGCCGTCTATACTCACAAAACCTGGTAGTTCGACGACAGAGCCATGGAGTGCCCGGTCGCAGATTTGGAGAGCGAGGGTCTGGTAGCAGAGAGCATTTCTGGTATTCAGCGCACAGCTTCTGCAGCGGCGAGGACCCGAAACATGGTTTTCAGACCCGACGAGAAAAGGAGCGGTAACGCGAAGAACGTGAGGAGCACGAGCGGACATTCCATCGGCTCGGGAGAAGTGTGTTTCGGCGTCTCGCCGCAGCGGGGCGCCCGTTACATACCTCTCCTCTCATCCGTTGTGTGCCGCACTACCTTTTCACTTTCGGCGGCCGCGTCTCGTGGCGATCTACCAGGCTTTGTCAGTATAGAGAAGATTATGGTTTGACACGTCATCACAGAGTGGATTAGTTTACTTGGACCAATAGAAAAACGCTGCTTTTTTCTTCGAGTTAGTACACCGTTGGCATGTTTTAGCGAAGATGCCGTGCAATCAATGTCCAGTTGTGTTTGAAAATTTTTTGGATTTTATCGAAAAAAAGGCCCAATTAACCTGACCTCCATCGTTCAGTGTCTCCTTTTTTTTTTTTTGGGGGGGGGGGGGGGGTTATGTCAATGCACACTGCCCACCTTGACAGTCCTTAATTCTTTCCTTTCTTTTCGATCGGTCTGAACAAAAACATAGACGTGATCAATCGTTAGTTATAGAGATTGGAATATGGCACAAATGACCTCGAAAATTGCAAGCGAGAAAATTTGTACACAAGGGCGTGGTAACGTGATGTTTGATCGCGAGAAAAAAGGTAAACAAATATACTTATTAGTACATAGAGGATACTAATTTATCCGGTGGGGTGCAAATGACTGCCCAAACTTGGAGAACATTGGAAGCTCATTGTCACTTAACTTGACGTAGTATCGAATTTATCCAATGGGGTGCCAATGACTAACCAATCATGGACGACATCGTATGCCCATTGTCACTTTGTTTTAAATGGTGTCCAATTTAACCAATGGGGTGCCAATGACAACACAATATTTAAAAACACTGGAAGCTATAGAGGAACTTCACTCGAAGTGGTATTCAATTTATCCAATGGCGTCCAATTAAAGCAATGGTGTGCCAGTGACTGCAAGATATTATAAAACATTGGAGCCCACTGGCGCTTCATTGGGAGTTGTCTCCAACTTATCCAATGGGATATCAATGACTGCTCAATATAAAACAATGGAATTTCATTGGAACTTTAATTGAAGTGGTATCCAATTTATCGGGTAAGGTGCCAAGGACCGCCCTTTATTGGGCGACATTGGAAGCTCATTGGCATCAGATCGGAAATGGTTTCTAATTTGTCCGATGGGATTCCAATGGATTCCTCGATATTTGGTCATTTAGAGGATAAAGGGGGACAGTCATGGCACTATTTTTCCAAGACATTTCCAATCTTTGTTACTGAGAGGACACAATGGGCCGACGATGGCCCTCTTTTTCCAAGATATTTCCCATATTGGCCGAATGGCCTGTGCTGCCTGGGAAGGTTTTCAATTGCGGTATTAGCGCGCATTGTTACATCTCGCTATAGGCTTGCATATAGAAGACAAGGTTAATAATCAGGCAAGCTGGTTAACATTATTCATGATTCTAAGTGAAGACGACGGCCGGCAAAGGGGACAAGAGTCAAACCCATAGGTATTGCGATATCGCTTCGGGCATTTAGGGAGCTACTTTTGCCTTTCGTATTTATTACATTTTAAACTGGCGTTTGATTTCATGAATGTGAGTTTTTGTTTTCAAAATGTTAATAACTATATCTGCATTTTGCAATAAAAAAGACGGTAAAACATCGTAGTTTTTTTTGGTTTTTTTTTCAAGTTAAGGGACGCAATTACAGGGAATAACACATAAACACATTCGGTTTAGTCAGGTGTCAGCTAGTGTCAACCGTTACATCAAACACAGACAATCAAGAGCCAAATATAAACGAACGCTGAAAGCTGAAAGTGGTCCTCAAAAAAGAAAACGAAGAAGTCGGTCGAGCGAGCAGTTTGACGCAATTGGTTCCTTCAGAGTTAGCCTGGCACGGCTCGGACCTGGCGCGGACCTCGCCGGACTAGGAAAAAAACGAGAATAGAAGGGGTTTAAAATCTTTATAACCGTGGTACGACAGGTGCGCGAACTTATTCATGACGTGATACGCAACATTCCTTGGGTCCGCGGACTTCTCCTTGGACACATTCCTGTGGTCCGCGGATAAGTTCTTGAGTTTTGCATGCTTTTTTCGCTGGGAACATGGCGGATTTTGAACCCCAATAAAGGTGATGTCACCGATTTTCAAGGAGCTTGTCCGCGAACAAGACCGCCGGGTGAATACACCTCAGGCAAGAATAACAGTTAAAAAGAGAGTAGGATGAACAGATCCTTTAAGAGGGAAATTAATAAAGCAATGATCACTTAGACCGGGCAAGTAGGTTATTGAGTTAACCAAGTCAGGAGATGTTGTCAAAATGAGATCAAGAATATTGGCACTCGATGATGAAGTTGGTGTAGGTTCTGTTACCATCTGGGAAAATTAAAATCAGAGCAAAGGTTTACAAATGCCGTGGGTTCACTATCTGACTCGGAAACAACCGGGCATGAATCATTCCAAAGTATTTTCGGAAAGTTGAAGTACTTTACACAAAAAAATAGGCGAAGGAGGGTACCTTACGACAATATTATTTAACACGTCATGAAAGTCATTACAAAACGTGGAGGATGGTTTGGTGGCCGATGACAGGAGCAGAAAATCACGTCACGGTGGTTAATTCGTATACCTGCGCAGACCACCCCTAAACACAAAACAACGGGGACATAAAAATATTGTATATGATCAACAATACCGATTAGGACATTTCCTCCTGATCTAGTACCGCGATCACAGCGATAGATACTAAACGAATTTTCACCCTCAAACACTTTATTGTTAGAAATCTTGGCACATAACCACGTTTCTGTTAGTATGACGACATCAGCACTACAAGTATGAATAAGGGACGACAAGTCATCACGCTTGTTTACAACGCTTCGAAAGTTTGAAAAGAAAAAAGCAGATGTCACGGAAAGGATTATGTGCACGAAGTGATTGTTATGTCGAATACGATTCACGCTCGTTTGGCACAGCTTCAACATGACTGGCGGGTTCAGGTCCATCATTGTGGAAAAGCATTTCACAAACACTGTCAGATGACGAAAGATACCCGTAACACCTCTTGTTAATCAATAACTTATAGTACCGAGTTGCAAACTGCTGACCGCTAGCCTTGCCGTATTCAGTTCGTGTCCTGCGTGAAGTGCGAGTAGCAATGCAAAAGTCTTCGCTGACACTGATATCGGCAACTTTCAGTTTTGATCTCGCCGCAAATATGGCAACTTTAACCTTAAAACTGGAAAATTTAGCGATCACTGGACGACACTTGTTTGGTAGGTACTTGCCCAATCTATGTGCTCGTGCAATCGACTCTTCAGAAAGCTGCATGTTCAGCGTGGACGAAAGGACTTCACGGACACGTTTTTTTTTTTATTCAGACCGGGTACGTCGGGAAAACCGTGAAAAAGCAAGTTTTCTCGCCACGATTTGTCCTCGATTTCGTCTAAACGACGTGCAAGATTAGCTGTCTCATAGCGTACAGCAACAGATACAGTGCTGGCAATGTTTTGCTCAGAGCAGCCCTCTGAGGCAGCCATCTTTTGCTCAACGGTTGTTACCTGCACATTGATGTCGGTCATTTATTGTTCCAGATTTATTTGAAATTGTTTAACTTCACTAAGTTGCGAGAGGACTTCAGAGTGATTTGCATCCATTTTCGCCGACAGTTCTTTCAAAAAGAATGTTACATCGTTGGATTTCGCGCCAGAGTCCGCCTTATTAGACCCGGGATTTAGTTTAATGTCCCCACCCAAAAGTAGCAGCTTCGTAACATACAGGCATTCACAGGAAGTGTTAAGAAGAACGGTTGGGCATGGAAAGAGCAGCAGATTCACATTGTTTGTTCGTTTACAATGCAAAGAAGAGCTTGGACTAACCTGCACAAGAAAGCAGAACATGATTTGGCGCGTCTGCATGGCTGCCGCTCTTTCATGCCCACTGGTGAAACGGGTCGACAGCACTTGCTTTAAAGGCCGCTGGAAACTTGATGTCTGTGCCGATGGAATCGATGAAGCCGAAGATGGTGACGTAACGTAGGCGGAGCCAACTAATGAAGACGCTGGACAGCGTTGACTTGTCTGCGATGAGTGATCCATGAGATTTGACGAACTCGCTGACGCACCACGCCCAAAAAGGAGGGTTACAATACCTATATTCTCTTCCTTTATTTTTTCTTTCAGTTCATGATTTATATCCTGAATGAGGATCGAATATCGCTTTCGTTTTCGTAGTCTAGAGAGAGCCTTCGGCGCAACTGAATACTTTCTCTGGTCTTCCCCGGGTTCCTTTCATTCAGGACTATGTCTTCTTGGCACGAATTTATTATTATGCTTTATAACAAACTTTTGGAAAAGTTCCATAAGAAATTGTCGTCTGGTTGCGGTACAAGATATGTATTGGACAATTCAGAAAACGTAAAAGATGGGAGTCAACAATCCCAATATCATCTGCCCTAGAAAAGTCATAGTACTCTTTCTTTTGTCGTTCTTTTTAACCGTTTTTGTAGGAGATAAAGTAAAATATACCAATTTATGGTTCAAAATGCCTTCTAAAATCTCACCCTCCTTCACTCTTTCGACCAAATTTTGACAAGGAAAAACCAATTCAAGAATCGAATCCCTTTCAACTGACACTCTCGTTGGTGCGTTAACTATCTGAACGAGATTATGAAATCAAGTTAGCTCAATCAGCGCCCGCGAGATACTGCAGAAGACTGTGTGCTTTCCCATTCAATATAAGGGAGATTAAAATGTCCCACTAAAATTAACTCGGAACTTGCAGTGTACGTTTGTTAAGATATACTGATTACTGCCTTCTGGTTGGCCTTGTCAGGAACCAAAAACAAAAAAAATTAGGGGTGTCTCTAATGACCTTGTCAGTCTTCGTACGAGCCTCCTTGAAGAAAGAGCCTAGCAGCCCTGAAAGGCAAGTAACTTGAAAGTCGTTTTTTTTTTCTGCGTATAAACTTTGGTACTTTTGTTCTATTTTGTGTTTATTGCACTTTGTTCAAGCACCTCGTTCAATGGGTTTTTGTTTGCAGGGTCAACTGATGACTCCCTTAGACGCTTCCCTTCAGCGTGGCAACCGGGGCTGCGCGAAGTACCTCAGACTTCACGGCGCGCTTCCCTTCTGTAAAATGACGGACAGGCATGACATCGACAGATGGCTTGAGCACAGGTAATACAAAACACAATTTCTAGGGACAACACATTTCGGCACTGTTCCTGGGCCACGCTCACAAAGCCATAATTATAACCTCTGGCTTCTCCCTATTTTCTTTTCGTGATTTCCTGCAAAAAAAAAAAAAAAGAGCTGTGGTGCAAACTGCCGGCGTTCTTTTTATTACTTTTAGTTCCCAACTGTCTGAACAGCGCTTTTGGGATCTACATGTTTGTGCTATACTTGTTTTCACCGCATATAAAGCAAGTGTTGAGAGTAGTTCATGCATATGTCGCGTGAAGTAGTTTGTGCAAGATCTGCTTGTCTCTGAACAAAAATGTGCCTTCACGCGTAAGACGTGACATGTTTTATGCAATAACAAATAGGTGATAATAAATGCGCATACAAGTATTTTAATTTACTTTTTAAAGAGGTAAGTTAGAAACGCTCTGTGCAAATTTCATCCTTTGTACTGCGTTTTTAGATAAAGCAATATATAGTTTGCCTTTTTTTGTAAATTATAACGCATTTCTTGTCCTTCATGCCTGCTTGTTTTTATTGTATTTGTCTTTTCTTCTAGTTACCAAATGCAACAATAAACTATGGTCTATTCGCATATAAATGAATAATAAGAAATAATATTAAAGTCAATCGATCACTCAAATAATAATTCGAACTGTCTCTATTAGTCGAGCACTGAAAGGGCGGTTCTTGTTTCTTCCTATCCTAGTTTCAATATCAACAAGCTGCACCAGACGGAACAACTCTGCGACGGTGAAGCGCCACCTCCACATCATGTTCTGCAACTAGAGGAGCACATGGTCGAGACTAGTCGCCACGTGAAGACACTCGAGACGTCCGTGCAAACAGACTCGGGCTACTTCGAGTCCAGGGACTTTCTAACCGGCAACGCGGGCCTCCTCACCGAAGCCAACGTTGCAGCCATCACGAAGCAGGGGACGATAGTCGAAGGAGGTCGCACCCTGAAACAGGCCATCATCACCAATGTCTACGTGCGAACATCAGGAGCAACGAGAACTCATCAGTCCAAACGGAGGGGGAAGCAGGCTGATGAAAAAGGACCACGCCATGACAACGAAGACAGCGGCTCCTGCAACAGTTCTTCGGCAGATGAACAGAAGGACCATAAGAAGATCACAAGGAGGCATAAGGGCAGAGAAGTTGAAGCTGAAGATGGATTGATTACGAAAACTTCAAGAAAGCAAGTTCTCTCAGACGCTAAGGGGCATAATATTTCTGAGGAAGTGATAATAAAGAGGAAAGAAGGAAAAGAGGGTCAAGTTGTCAAGAGGATTATTCGGAAGCCGTCTGGAAGCGACGAAGAGGTTTGGGTCAGCGGAGAGCTCGAGGACAACATGGAAACAACTCCAGAAGGGTTTACTTCAGTCAGCTTCAGTGAGCGGAAGAGCAACGAAGCCCTGCACGCGTCTTCCGGGGAAGAGCTAAAAAAAACTACTTCAAGATCAACGGAACGTTTGCGTGCAGAAAAGCAAGATTCAGGAAGGCAACCTGCAGTGTCACCAGTGGTGGCGAGGGCTGCTGAACTGTTTATGCGACCTATTTCCGAGAAACGGAGAGGCGGTGGCAATCATGCAAAACCTCTAAAAGAAGAATTGAAGGAACGCGAGGAGCTAATGAAAGTCAAGCGAGATATAAATCAAATTGAAGCGCGCAGGACGTCAAAATCAGACAAGCGATATAAAACCGAGCTAGAAACAACAGATAAAAACTCAGTCACATCGGACGAAAAGACAAAGCGATCATTAACGAATAGGCGAGTTTCCGTGGGAGTCACTTCTTCTGGAGAAAGCAGCACTGAGAGCGATGTTCAGGGTTCAAGAAACTTGACAAAAGGGGGCAAAACTAAGAAGCTGGCGAAGGGCCCTTCTAGGGAAGTTTTAGATGGCTCGGCAGATAAGGTTACAGGCATTACTAATGTCAAGAAAGAATCGAAGCTGAAAAGCAAGACGCCTAATGCTACTACAGATGTAGCTAGTAAGACTAAATTTGCCAAACTAGCTAGTAACAAATCCCACGACTCATCTAGTGAAAGTTTGGATGGAAGAGATCAGAAAATCACCGACCTTAGAAAGTCAAAAAGGGGCAAAAGTTCAGATGACAAAGTTACGGAATCATCTAGCGAAAGAACTTCAGAGGCTCGTGATATAAAAAGAATTGCAAAAGAATCACTGGGATCACCTACAGGGGAAACCGAAACAGCCAAAAAGAAGGTTGAAGGAAGAAGTAAAATTTCAAAACCAAGACAAGTCACACCGACAAAGAAAAAACTCGATGAAGTCTTAAAAGAGAAATGTCTCGAAGTTGAGGAAACCCTATCAAAATCTGGCAGGTCGAAGGTGCACAGAGAGTACGAAGAAATTGAAGAACAAACTTCAACTAACTTTGCCGAGTTTGTCAGCGAGACCAGTATGTCAGACGGTGTGCTCGAGCAGAAAAGTGACCAACTCTTCAAAGGTGAAGAACACACTACTGAAAAACACAGGTTGAAAAATCAAGAAGGTTCGAGAAGCAAGAAAATACAGCGGGGAAAGCAGGAAGTGGCAGAAGATGATACCACTACTGTGCAATCGAACAGTTCATCTCCCAAGAAATTAATCAGCTCGGAGCAATACGAGGAACAAGAAGTCATAAAGGAGCACGCTACAGAATCCAAGATAGTTGAAGTATTTGAAACAGAAGTTCAGGAACATCTCACTCATCCTCAGAAAAGACGTGGTTCAACTATCAAAGGGGGTCCTGTAAAAGAAAAAACTAAACCTTCAACAAGTCGGAGTCATTCAAAGATGGGGGAGTCAGCTACCCAGGACGAGTTCAATCTTACTCTCGAGCAGAATTCAATGAGCCGCACTAGCCGTGAGGAGCGTGGAAGCACCGAATCGCTCCAAAGTGTGCATGCCTCCGAAGTGATAGAGAAGAGCAGCAGCGAGTCGAGGAAAGTAGTAAGCACGAAGCATGGTGAGTCAAGTATCAGTCTAGTGGAAGACCACTGCACGCGTCATTCCACCAGAACAGAATCGTCTAATGGCAAGGAAGTTTTTCATCGGGAAGAAACCAAGCAGAGTACATCAGAAAAACGGGTGTTGCAAAAACCCCGAGGTAATGAAATGGAAACTGACGTCGCTGGCAAAGATGATACGTTTGAGGAAACGAAACTTAAGGCAAGTCACGCTCAAGATGAGCTCTCGAGGCACTCTAAAGATGAACGTTCACTACGATATGCAAAATCCCGGAGTGAGGCTTCTGAGCGCCATAGCACTCCTCATCCAGTAACTGATGGTGAAGAGAGCACTGAGCAGGAAGGAGATATCACTGCCCAGCCAACCAGCAGGATCGAGGATAACGAAATACTTGCAAGACAAATTCCAGCTAACGTAGTAGAAGCAGTCTCTGATCTCTTCAACCGAGTACAGCAGTCCTCAACTCAACAACAATTGGATCACGATGAAGCTCAGCAAGATATTGACAGAAGTTCCGACGCGGCCAGCGACTTCCCTGGTCACAAGGAAAAGTTAGATGATAAATTTGAAACTTTTGACTCGACTGAAACTGCTCCTACTGGCGCAGGTCTTGCTGAGGTTGCTATTCCGGCCACTGTTGCTGAAGCTGTCACCGACCTTTTTAATCGCGTGCACCAGTCTTCTAGTAAAGCAGGCTTTAATGAAAAGGACGAACAAACCGAGAGCGGCTTGGTGCAAGAAAAACCAATTGAAAGCTCACAAGAGTATGACGGTTCTTTGGCGCACGACATTCCAGCAACCGTTGCTGAAGCGGTAACTGATCTCCTCAGTCATATTCAGCAATCATCTCGAAAAAGCGAGTCTATTGACCTCAAAGAAACGAGTGAAAACACTCTGTTACAAACGAAAGCAACGGAAGAGCAAGCTGAGAAAAACGTTCTGCCGACAAAGAAGCAGGTTTCCGGTGACAGTACGACTAACAACAAAATCGGGGATATTCCTACTGGGGAAGCCCAGCTAGTCACAACTGAAAACCTCAAAAACGTCGTGGAACCTAAACCTTCACAATCGCGAGATATGGCAAACAGTCCTGTTTTGATATCAAAAACACTCGTTGACAAGGCCTGCGGACCCAGCGGATCGTTTCTTGTGGACGCTGGTTGCAACCCTAGACAAGTTTCAATCGATAAGACCGAAAGAAGCACAAGCCCGAATGAAAACGACTATACTGTCGAAGTATCTTGCGAAACAGTAAAAGAAGCAACCGAAAGCATTGCCTGCAGTCCTGCGCTTCAAACGACAGACGCTTCATGCAGTCCAGAAAACGCTACGCTGAAACATTTTGATGACGCAACTTGCAGCCCCGACCAGGCAGCACAGACGGCAGATGCTTCCTGTAGTCCGGGTACACCTGTGCTAAAAGAAGTTGAAACAAAAGATGCGGGCTGTAGTCCCCCAGCTGAGGTGGCGTCTCCAGAGCGAGCAGATGTAGCCTCGAGCCCAATCGGAGCGACAGATAAAGTAGATGATGGTTGTAGCCCGATAAAAACCGCAGTCGACCAAACTGATCAAGCATCGAGTCCACCTGCCGATTTCTACAAACGAGATGCTGGAAATAGTCCTCATCATGTCGAAGTGGGAGATAAGGATGCGGCTACGAGCCCACCCACTGACTTGACCTGCGATGCATCTAGCACTCCTCTGTCACCGCACTGGCAAAAAGTTCGAGACTCCATTGGTGTCTTGGACGTCGCCTCAAGTCCCATAAAACAAACTGAGATGCAAGACACAGCTTCTTCTCCAACTTCCAAGCAATGGACGCAAGATTCTAAATGCAGCCCAATACCCTTGGACTTCGCCAAAGAGACTAGGAGCGTTGCCTGTAGTCCGCCTGATTTAAATTTTCGTGTTCAACCTTCTGACGGCGAATATTCAAGTGTAGCAGTCAGTCCAATTAAGCCTTCTGTATTTGACAAAGCATCGAGTCCTCCGGAAACGGTCACAACAAACGATGCCCTTAGCAGTCCTGTTCTCTGGTCCCCCAAGGTAGAGAAAGGAAGCAGCCCCCACAAAGCGTACATGAAGGACAGTTCCTGTAGTCCTATACCCGAAGCGAACGAAGGATTATCTCAAGGCGATGGAATCACTGCCGATGTGCGTTCACCCCCCCTCGACACGGCGACAGCCGAGGCAGTTAATGTTGCACGGATGAGATTCAAAGCACTCGTCAAGGACGCCAGCTCAGGGACTACACCAGTAAAAGAAGTTCTGCGGGCGAAGGTAGTGGAGGCATCTTGTAGTCCTATCGGATTTGAATATCAACAACTCTCAAGAAGCAGCACCGATTCCATAGACGTAGAAATTCCTGCGAGGTCGTCCTCCATTGAAGAAGCAGAAAAATCGCCCCAAACGGACATCGGCGCCATTCCGGCCTTTGCAGAAGTAGCCACGAGCCCCATCGAAAACGGCACATATCCTACTGCCGACTCAGTGGGAGTTCTGGCGAAGCCTCTCATCACGGACATTGGAACGAGTCCCCTCGGTCCAGCGTCTAAGACAGTAGGTACCTCCACGGAAAGTAAACCTGAGCCTGCTCTTAGTGACATCAGCACCAGTCCCGTCGAATACACGAGAGATTCTACCGAAAAACCAGTGACAAAGGATGCATCCAACAGTCCAATCAGCGTTCCCGCGTCCTCACCTCTTGCTCTTGACGGAAGGAAGATGAAGCATGTACAACCCAATAAAAAACATTTGCGGAAGTCCCGATCTTGGGACGTTATAGGTTTTGGTGGCCCTATCGAAAGCTTGGCCAGGGAAATTCAACTTCCAGAGATTAATGGTGTGGCAAGGGGTGTCCCGAAGAAAAGCTCGGCCACCACAAACGTTTCACCCGTTCAGAATGGCAGCAGAGACAGCTTAGAAAAGACAACGCTGGAGGAAACGTCACATCTACAGAAGCTTCCAGCCATTGTTAAAACGGCGAGTACACCTCCTGACACCACAGCCACATCAGATGCCCGGAGTAACGTTGATAGTCCTGGTGCCCTGGCAGCAAGGAAGAAAGCGTCTTTGCATCCAATAGGTTCAAAACGTCACAGCTTGTCCCAGTCCGACCTTGACCGTTCTCCAGAATCGAGCATCCGGAGTTCGGACCATACTGTCACACTGAAGGATTCGGGTTTTAGCGACGTTGAGAGACCGCACTCTGGGTCGTCAGGTGAAGAGGACAGAACTGACCATGCTGTGTCTGACTCTGCAGCTCAGCAGCTGGAGTTGCAAAGACGGAAACTCTTGCTGAGGAGGAAAAACAGCAAAGTCGATGCCAGTGACGACACGGACGGCAGTGGTGCCGAAGACGCTACTCGCTTGGATCTTTCTGGAATTAGGCATAAAGGGGATACTGGCAGAAGCGAAGCTACAGGGGTCAAAAGAGAACGGAACGGGAGAGCCGAAAGCGTTCGTGAACAAAGGAAACGACGCGTCCCTAATCTTCGGCCGGTCTCCGAAAACTACAAGAGTCCCGAAGACATGACTCTGGCCGTCCAAGAAAGCATTCGGAAGTGAGTATATTCTTACTTTACTGGAAGTCATAATCAAAATATCCGAATATAATTGTAAAACCAAAATTTCATGAGCTTTAAATGTTGCGCAGTATTTTGTAGATAATCTAAATATTTATGCATATGGCTGCTATATGCGAACTATAATATAGAAGGTGTTTATAAAAGGTCCCGATATATATATATGGGTGTTTTCATCTCAAATCGTGCAGGCAAAAAGGGTCAAATTTTTAATTTTGCCGAAAACAAAATGTTATGCCGTCGTCCCTAAAAACGCAGTAGCCACAAACCGCAAGTTCGTCGGATTTTTGTTCTCGACTTACGACTTTTAAAAGAGGCCGCGGCGGAAAGCAGTGTTTTTCACATACGTCGTGGGTCGGATGTTTCGCTCGATCTCCAGAGAGACGGGGGTGGCACCCCTGTAACCTCTTCCGCTGTATCTGTTTCGGCCCCAAAATGGCCGATTAAAGCCAAAATAGACGTCACGTGCAGTTCCTCGAGTGGCCGCTGTGGGAGAAATGGCGGCGTTGTGTTCGCCATTAGCTAGGTGCTCGAGGACAGATCGGGGACACTTTATCTGAGCAGTCTCTATGGCAGTTTCCCAACTGAGTGTTTTAGTAACGTTGACTTGCCGTAAGCACAGTGCCGTATGCACTTTTTTTGCACCGGTGCAAGAGGCGCAGACTAATCGAACGCGCCCACTGTCTGAGACGTATTTCTTCCTTGTATGAAGACCATCACATTGGTCATACAATGGTGCCTGGAGCGCGTCTTTTCGTACAGTCTATTAAGAGAGCGACTGCGGCTTTTAACAGCCCCATGAATCGGGCTCTTCCCATCTCCGTGCATCTCGTCTCCTACTCTCATCCTCGTGGCACTCACTGCCCAGGTACCGGCTGGAACGACAGCTCTTCAACGAGCTGCAGGAGCTCAAGCGTCACCAGATCCGGAGCGGGCGGACGCACGAGAACGTGCTCGTCAAGAGGCTCGTCGACCGCTACCGGGAGCTCGTCCTCGGGCCGGGCATGAGGGACTTCGGGGGACCGTACACCTTTCGCAACTACGAGATGTACTTATACGGTGAGGCTCCAACAGCCGCAGAATCTGCACGCAGGAGGTCAAACCGTGACGCCCCTGCCGGTTAAGTTGAGGGTTTAACCAATGGGGACAAACCAGCCGCTAAATCTGCACGGAGGAGGTCCAACCGTCGCGCCCCTGGCGGTTAAGTTGAGGATTAAATCAACGGGGACAGCAAACGCATCATTACATATTTGTGACGCTGCGCTCGGCTGGCGTAGTCAAACTCTGCGTCAGCATTCGGCTGAATCTCGAGTCCAATCCGTCGCCGACTGAACAGCAGCCAGACGCTGGCACAGCACTCGGTCCAATCTGCTCCGCGCTCAATCGAAGACGATTTCGTACAGAAATCCACAGGCCTTACGTTGCGCGAGCACCGATCTGTGTAGAAACCAAGCTAGGAAGGCGTCTCCCGTAGTTTCATCTCCCTATATTTTTAGTGTAGCACGCTCAGAACTGGCTTCTATTTATCGTCTGCCAAGAGCACCGACCCCCATTGGGAGGAATGCACGTTGAACGTGCACAACCGTACATTCTTCCCAATCGGGATACTTGTTCTTGGCAGAAGGTGAATTAAAACTATCAGTGACACGGTGCGAGAAGAGAGAGAGGTGTCTGAACAGGGCCGGAAAAAGGACCACAATTTCTTTTGATCTTCGCGCACTTCCTGCCAATGTCACTGTCAGGCCTTCGCACGGGCGAGGCGCGCGGCGTGGCAGTGAAAGGGTGTGCGCGAATATGGACGGTTCCTCGAGCCTCTGTCCTATTGCTCATCTCGCGGTCATGCCAGAACTCCGAGCCAACCTTCGTACCACACTTGTATCTGGCAAGTCGGTGCCGTTCAGACCACTATGTTCTTCCATTGTGGTCAATGACAACTTAAAAAAACGCAGGAGGTGTCTTATTGTGTTCACGCTTCTTTCTTTCGTTCTTCGGCTTTCTTATCGGCCAGTAACACAATCTTTTTGGTTGCGGAGCGATAATAGGGTCTTAGAAACAAAATTGAATAGAATTGAATCATGTCCTGCGCTTTTTAGACATAACATAAGCTGCGAACGACAACAATGTGGCGTTCCGTAAATGGCCTCTATTTTCAATTTCGAGATCTTTTACAGTAGGGAGCCAGCTTACACGACTGTGTTACATCATTTCCGCCAGGTCAACTCAGAGACCTGTCCAATTCAAACGACGGAAAGGTACCGGCCAAGTACAAAAAGGTAAGTTTAATTTGAACAGACCGGCCTAACATATACGCTGGACTCCTCATTCGTAGTCATATTGAATTAAGATTCTAAAATTGCGTCATCAGTGCTTTGCTCTTACACATCTAGCACAGCTACAAAATACACCAAAGCTTAGCATTGCAGGCTGGTTTTTAGTGGGTAGACGCAAGGCAAGCTACCTCTTCCCTTCTGCACTCTTCGAACGCGTTCGAGTGCTGAGCACCGGCGTAAGGCGCTTGGCGTTCGCGTTCAAACGCGTTCAGCGAGTGCAGTGCAGACAACGGCAGCTTTGAGTCTACCCACTAATCGCTCGAATCAGAGCTCGGCGTTCTGACGTCTCCTCCTCTCCATCAGTTTCTTCCCGTATACTATGCAGATCAAATATAAAATCAACAATGCTTTCTGATTAGAACAAATAATTAAGCTGCAACTGCCCATCCTCGTTATGGCGCTCGGCACCGCTAAGGTCGGATTATCCTGCAGACAAGTTTGTCTCATCATCTTGTTCATAATCATAATCATTATCGTCATATTATACCGCCCGAAAACAACCACATCGAGCTTTCTTGAGTGGTACACGGATACAAAAAGCACAATAAGCCACACAAAAAAGACTCCGAAACCTTTAGACACATTTGTTAAAATCTGACTAACAATACATCTAACTGAAAACATGATTGAATTATGTTATGGGGTGTGTACAACATGATTCAATTGATAGGGAATTAATATGAATGCGAAAAAGCAGAGCTATTATTTAGTGACGGAATCCGGAAGAAACCGGCGAAGTAGGTATCACGAGAAATTAAGAATCAAAACAAGCATTTCATGAAGGGCTGTAATGTCAACATTTTACCATTTTCTTAACAGGTCATTGTTTACATTTGTAGGGTTTTTAGTATTACTACGACTTGTAACCCACTCTCCTTCGTAGTGCCCGCCAGTCCTCAGGTTACTTGAAATAACTAAAAAAAGAAAATGACTGGTTAGGCAGAACGGAATACGAAAGTTAACTTTTCTCGCGGGAGCAGAACAGATCTGCAACCACATGCATATATATTGCATCAGGGCTATTTAAAAGAGCAGAACCATTCAGCACTTCAAGTTTGCTGACCTCAATAGGTATACGAGTCTACTTGATTACAAAAAGAGACATGATTCGATGCCGAGATTTGTATTAAAATCTCAATAATTATTTTGGACAACACTTCTCGCAGAAACTCCAACTCTCGCTTCCTCTGGTTCACATTTCGCTGAAATTTATTAAAAATAAAGGCAATACACATAAAGACAGATCTTTTTTTAACTTTTCTTAAGCGACAATCACACTTTTAATGTCCGTCAAACAGAAACGAGTAATATGCTTGTTGTTATTGTTTTTTCCTAATCTGGTACTCATTCTTGTAGAAAGGTCGTCTGCGATAGAACCAGCACTCAAACGCCTTCTTTTTTTTTCGGAAATACTGTTCCGAGTGTTTTGACGTCACCGGGTCGAAGGTGCCTTGACCCAGGCCGACGTGCGTTGCTCCGTCGGGACCGGGGTGTAAGATAGACAGGGGGCGAAACGAGAGCCAAATGAGCGACCGGATTGTGTCCCCCTCGGCTTTCTCTTCTTTTTGTGGCGCCATCTATGTGGAGCACCGCGAACTCTCACTCCGGGTGGGCGACCTTTGGCGACCGGCTAAACTGACGGAGATGGTTTCTCGTGGATTTTCAATGGAGGACTGTCGTGCTCTCGTTTTATTTTCTGCACTCTCCCGTAAAGTTCCATGCAAATCCGATTCCGTTTTTTTCCTCTCGCCGCAGCGCCATCTGTCGCAAATCGGGGGTACCCGCAAGCAGACGAGTACACAATCCGGTCACGGCGCAACGGTAGACTTCTATGGGCCGTTTCCGCACCTGTCTATCTTACACCCTGTTCGGGGCGCATGCTTTGTCCGGAGTGGAGGCGGAAGGCGATGCTATGCGAAGGACACGTTAACTCACTTAATTTCATATTTGCAGTATCGTCACTAAAATAGTACAAAGGATGGAACCCAGAGTATCGAACGCAAGTCGCAAATGTCAAGAATTACTTCCTCTTCTAGGGGTTCTTATTTAAAAAAGCAAATGCAGGAGAACATTAAAACTGATTATGTGTACGAATGCGAAAGCATTCCTACACGCAGCGCATTCTTACAGCAGCGTGCCACGATTTTTTTTTTTTTTCACACGGGGCTCCGGAGGGTGCATCACGCACCCCACTGCGCAGGCGCGGCGAACCGCCGGCTCCACAGCTTCCGTGACGATGCATCTGCGTCGACCTCAAGCGGCCCCGCTGGCTTCCGTGACGAAGCATCTGATATGACGCGTCGCAGCCAATCGGAATTTAGCTGCCGTTTCGCTCAGCCAATATGAATTTATCTGCCGTTTTTCGAGGTTACAGAAAGCGCCGGTTTCGCTCCATCAGACAGTTAATATTTTTCGCATTAAAACGGCGGCACTCTGGGCCCGTCCGCTGATTGATCGGGGGAGCCACGGCTCACCCAAGAGCTCAGTCGGTTGTGATGTCACAGATGGGCCCGCTGCTTCAATGCGTTCGAACTTCGCTTTTCCTCACCTTGGTTTTCCCCAACCCTAAAGCATAGGCGATGCCATCGCACCCAGACCGGAAGCGAGCACTCTTGGGTTTCCAAGTTCCGGCAGAGGTTACACCACTCGATGTACGAACATTGGTCGCCTTCTCAAACCTGAAACACCGATAGACCGATTCTAGCAATACCTACAATTATTAGAACATTTTAAGAGCCTTAAGTTTCACGCCGAATTCACATGTTCCCCGAATGTGGCGCCAACTATCGACAAATATTGGAACCTGATTATGACTGGGTTTCTTAGGCGGAAAACAAGGGCGCCGTTAGGCTTTATATCTGCACATAGGTTTGTTTCCCAGTACGTTGGCTTTCTCTCTAATTTTCGTGGCTCCGCTACTTTTCGCGGACAACTGAGGATCGCGGAGGACATCTCGTTCCCGTTTTAGCACGACGGCTGCGTTGAGAGGTCACCGCTGATGGGCTGTAAAGGAAGAAGGTTACGGCTGCAACGTTAGATGTTACGCCTGAGATGTCTCTCTAATAGGCCTTGTCCGGATATGCCTCGTCCATTGATGAAAATTGGCATCGGCGTTGTTCTCGAGAGTCACCGGCCTGGAGCGGCAGGGGGCGGAATGGATCCCTTCCTCCTACTTTTGGTGGACGCGCGATCTTTCCATCACTTGTAGCTATCAAGCATGACTTTATTTCGTGTCAGCCAACGCAGCCGGCACAAAGTCTGAATAATGTTTGTACATCGATGGTTTTCCTGTCTAATAAAGCGGCAATATATCAGTCACGCATCTTTCTAGCGTGCTTTTCTTAGGTGCGATTCAATCGATTGAGCTGGGACCACTGTTGTACACATTACTGAAAAGTAACCGACTACATACTTTATTGAAAAATGTAAGTGATTACGGTAATCAATTGATGCATCACAAAAGTAATTCAAACGAAGTACCAAAAACTAATTTATTACTTTTCAATTTAGTTTTTTTTTTTTTTTTACTTTTTATTGCGAAATTAAAAGAGCATACATATGTTCAAAATGGTTACATTTTGTTTCTTTTTGTCGTTAAAACTTTGCTAAGCTCCAACAGTCAGAGAGTCGCTGAACACGTTGACATTCTAATCCTTCTGGTATCTTGGTATCTTTTTTTTAGTTGTTTATGGGTAAAAAAGAAAATCGTTCAACGCTGGTGCAACATACACGAGTGACGCAGGGCAGCCTGAGACATTTTTACGTAAAAAGACTCAACTCAATCATTTTAGCTCTTTCGGAAACACATAAAGGATTACTCGTAATATCTGACAGAAAAATAGTAATTGAATTACAGCGAACGTGACCGCAAACAAAAGTAATTAAAGCGTTAAAAAGTTACAATAAATTGTAATTTATTACGAGTAATTAGTTACTGATAGCTCGTTAAGTACAAGTCTGCCTGGGACGGAATGAGCTTAGCAAACCGTAAACAACTTTATTTTTGCGGGCTTGATTTTTTTTTTTTTTTTTTTACATTTTGGGAATCGTGGGTTTTGGCAATATTTCGCGGGCCACACAGCGGTTTGCTATGTACTTTTTACCATAGGGTAATCTATCTTCGAGATCTATTTTTCGCTTAAATATGTAAGCCGCGAATTTCGCGAAAATTAAGTTGTTTACTATAGTCGGGAATGCTTATTTCCCTCAGAATCCTTCGTAGGGCCTGGCGGGCAAACCCCCTTCACCGCACGAACCCACGCCGCTCTTCCATTAAAGAGCAACTCCACTTAAAAAATCTACCCTATCGAAATGACTGATATCACTTTAGGGGGGCAAAATACGGTCATATCCAAAATATCACGTCGAACCGACGCCGCATTACCGATTAAAACCAAATTTAAAAATGTTCTCCCGGCTCGGTTAGCGGCCCGAAAGTGGGTGAGCAACGCTGGCACCGGGTGAGCTAGTGAAGCAACACTGGGCAATGACGTAGTTCTAGTCCTCCGCTCTCGTACGGACGCTTGGACGCGTCGTTTCCCGTGGCGTTCTGCGATTCTGCTGACGGCAAGAGGTGCTTACAACGTTATCCTGTGTTCTCCTATTTTTATTAGCGTCCAGGCAGTTCATTTAACTCCAGCATTGCTTTCGCGACAGCGCGGAGGAGAGCGAAGCGGTGCTGCTCGTTCACGCGCGTGACGTGGAGCCGGAGAGACTCGGCGGACTCGCGTTGGGCAATGTCGAGTACGACTTGTAGTAGTGTTGTGCGTTGCACCAACAAGCCGGTGCGCAACCCTTAGCTGCGGTTCCATAAGTTCCCAAGAGACCGGAAGAGGCACAAGGTGTGGGTCGGTGCCGTTCGCCGGATAGACTTCGGGGGACCGTCGACTTCGAGCTCCAACGCGAAGCTCTGCTCCCTGCACTTTACGTCAGACACCTACACA